GAGGTAGCATTATTGGACAACAGAGCCAGAGTGCATGGTGGAATTGTGTGAAACCAGGGTTCAGCTTCAGTGGAAACCTCTGGGATCCTCAAGGGTGCAGTAGTACCCCAGGTTGCAATTCTTTTACTACAGCCTAGTGTCACATTGTCACACTTTGCATTCCTTGCAAAGTACAGTGGAACCTCAGGTAGCTTTACAAATGTTTCGGGTTACCAACTCAATTTCTTCGGAAAGTCTGAATTGGGTTACAAACTTTGCCTCACATTGCAACTGTTGACACACGTGTGGGTCGACCGAGCAGGTGGTTCCTGGTGGCACGGGCAACCGCGTTTCAGGTTTACCTGTGCCTCTCAGTGACAATCATGTTTAAATTCTTTGTAAAGTCAAATTGTTTTTCCTGCTATTTTGTTTTTGAACTTTAATGAGTAAAATACAGTATGGGAAGAACTGCAAAGTTTTGTCTCACTACAGACAAGTGTTAAAATGTAGGGAAGAACCAAGAGTCTTTAAACAGATTCTTAGCAAGACGAGCAAGCCATTAACTTCAACCAGGTCCTAGTGGTATGCCTACAAAAAAAGAGAAAGTACCCCAGAGAAAGTCATCACTGCCTGATGTTATAATGGAAGGAAACCCCTTCCAAACACTAACACTTCTCTTTCCCCCCTACCTTTTCTCAACGTCTTCCATATGCCAAGTCATCAATCAAGGCAAGCTATAACTTTTACGTACTATGATACAGAACATTTGTATTTATTATATATGAAATGCATTTAAAGTTAATATTTTTGAGTGTTGAACAGATTAATTCTGGTTACATTATTTCTCGTGGGAAAATTCGTCTCGGGTTGTGAATTTTCGGCTTACGACCCGTCTCTGGGAATGGATTAAATTAAAAAACCAAGGTATCACTGTACTTTAAAGAATTAAAGGTAAAGACTAGTTGCACACCTAGAAAGAATTAGGTTTGTAAGTAAACAACAACACGGCTTTAGGGAATGGAAATTATTCCTGACGATCCTTCTGGAGTTTTACGACAAGGTAATGAAAAAGCAAGATAGAAGCTTGGCCAACATAACAGTTTAAAACTAATAGCTGCCATGTTCACAAGATTCCAGTGTTTAATTTATACTGTACAGTATTAATAACTTTGGCTGCTCTAAAGTATAACCCAATGTAGTGTCAGGGCAAACTATTTATAAATGGCTGTAAATTTATAACAGAATTTACATACAAATTTAAATACTGTAAATTAATTACACAAGTTACAACAGCATAGCATGTATTGTAATCAGAATTGGAAACTGTTCTTAACTTTTACAAGTCAATATTGGCTTGACTAAATAAATAGTCGAGTAGCAATATAAATCAAACTTACATTTCCAAGAATAATGCAAGTAACATTTGACAATTTAGGCGATAAATTGGTAAACTTCACCGTTTTTAAAGCAAGATCAGCAAGATATTTTATTGACGATTTATATAAAAATTAGCACAAGAGCAGCGAGAAGTAGAGCCAATATAAATGAATACCAAGTTATAGTAATCTGAACACCCCTCGACATTCTACATCAACAGATGCCGAGGCTATCCAAGCTCAACTATTCCAGTGTTTGGAATGATCAATCTGACTTCAATTGGAATTTGAATGCCTATCAGCAAGTCATCTCTAATTAGTTCCTTTATATTTCCAAATATCCAGCTTGTGAAGGAGGGGGGGGGGGGGAGGTGCTGTCTCTTACTAGTTTTATCCTAGTCTGTAGACTTGCTAAACCAATAATACCTCTCATTCTACCGGGTGGTCCCAGTAGTACAGTCTAGTTCATGAGGTCCCAGTAGTAGTTTAGTTTGTTCTCTAGTCACAAATCTAGAATTTCTGGTTCAAATCTCAATCAGGCCAATGGTTGGCCACATTACTTATAACCTAATGCCATTGTTCATCTAGGAGTTAGTCTGCTTTTGTGGGGTTGCATCCTAGGGTGGGCTAGTAATTCAACCCTGGTTGGGGAAGGGGGGGGGGGGGATGCCTCGTGTTGATTCCGGGGAAGGAAGGGGTGGGGAGGGAAACCTCGATACAAGCCTAAAATGTACTCTATGTACTATGCTATGTATAAACTGATTGCCTGTCCCCCAACAATGCATTTTTAGCAATTACCAAGCTATATTTCCTGACCATTAAGTTTGTATTTCTGAAAAAGTAGGAGTGGCCAGTAATAACCAAGTACCTGTTTGCTGGATGGGCTATTCCTTTCAGACAAAAAGATAACATTTGTTTGTACATTATTTCGTCAAGTACAGTACAGGCGGGATTATCAGGCCAAGAAAGAGATTGAAGTGAATGCAAGAATGGACACCCTAGACAAGTCTAAAACAGTCCTTCCATACAGAATTAAGCTTACCAAGGTCAGTATTTTATTGGTTCCACTGTTCAGTCATACAAGCTATGTCACTGACTTTATTAACTTTAATTGTGACCAGGTTTCAATATGTACTACTGAATTTACTATGATATTTGTTCCAACCTCAAGTCTGTAGTAGTACTATATCTGAAAAATTGACAAGTGGGCCCTTTGAGGGTAGAAATATGCCCCAGATACTCTTCAAAAGACTCGGTCTCTGCTTAGCAATTTTAGTCTGTCACTAAAACGAGCCCTGCGAGTTAAAAGCAAGCATAGATATATTTACAGGAACAGGGATTAGGTTGTATTGTACACATTTCTATGAAGGTCGCCATAGTCTCTTGTCAGTATAATTAGAATATCAGCAGCATAACAAAACATTGGCCAGTCATGTGCTAAAAACAGATTACAGTACTGCAATAATTTATTTAATAATTTAAGTGTTAAGCAACTTTTAATACTATTTAGACAAAAAGCTTGTTTGCTTGACTATTTAAAAATTATAGCATCGAGTTACACTACAACAAAATGGTTTACAAATCAAAATACGGCTCCAAGATGGGGAATAATAAATGCACATGGTAAATAGAGAATGGTTAAACAAAAGTAATAATTAGAGCCATGCAAGGTTTTAGCAAATTTGAGCCAATTTAAAATGTGAAATTGTCCATGCAATTTGTTCATTTTGTTGAGGATTGTCTGAAAAAATGGTACTGTACAGAAAAAAATCCCTAATTAGGAAGAGATTTATTGTATGTAATTATCATTCAGATGAAGGCAAAAGGGCTAGGCAATCACAATAGGCTATAAAAAAAAAAAAATAGATACAGCTTTATGCTGAAAAATATATGGCTCAAAGCTTTAGTAATAAATTAATGGATACTAGTCCAAATACTGAAATAGCCAAGTCTGAATGCGAGAAACATCTAATAGTCACAATTGGCAAGGATCTTTAGCCAATAAAATAAAATCAATGCACAAATCAACAGGATAAAGCGAATAAGTTATAGATTTATTTCTAAAGTGTTAGCAATAATAACGTTGTAATAACAATAAAAGTTAAAATACAAACTTAACCTTGCCCTTTTAGATTATAAAAGTACAGTTTGGACCTCCATACCATGGAATGGAAAAGTTAACTTAAACCATGTACAGAGAAGAATGACAAAAGTTAATCCCAGAAATTTAAAACCTCCATTATGAAGTTCATAGAAGCTTAATGTAGTCTTAAAGACAGCAAGGGGGGGGGGGGGGGGTGATACGACTTACATACACAGATGTGTTCAAGGGGGGGGGGGGGGGGAGCTTCAGCTCTTTGCTCCCATCTCCCATTAGCATATTAGGCTCTACCATATCTATATTTGAACCTATAGCCTGCCTCCTCCATATCACTTCCTAGTGCATGCCATCTGCTAACTAGTGTACCCTGACACTGCAAATAAAATTCTCAAATTCCTGTGGCTCATTTCGGTACCAAGTTTCCACCCATGTTCCCTTGTTCGTGTACCACCCTTGCTGAACAGTAACCAATGTGTGCGTGTGTATTAGTTTAGTGCAATGTTATTAATTTTGCTTAGTAAATAATATGTCTAGCAAATTTGACCTCAATCCCTTACCCCTCTAGGTTAAGGGAGGGGGGGGGAGGGAGGGTCAACAAGGTAGGCAAGGATTAGGTAGGTTGTAAAAATCCTTTACCTTTGGAAAGATGCAACTCTTAAAAGAGGTTAGGTCATATTTTATACAATGAAAGCAACAGCTTGTAGCAAGCCAATACCATACCAATTTAAAATGTATGTTCGCACGTTATTTCGGGCTATGTTTGCATAGCCCAAAACGCCATGCGTATTAGTGGCTTTAGGTATTGTATGCACTACCTCTTATCTATAAATCCAACAGTAGGTTTGTAACGCTGCATCTATGCATGTACTTTTCCTAAATAAAATGTTATTTATTTATAATTTATTATCATAGAGCAGTGCGGGAGGCCGAGCATGACTGACAAAGCTTAGACAAAGCCCTTGACGTGTGGGAGGGTAGAGCATTATCAGGGGGAAAGTGCCAAGCCATTACGACTATATTGCCCTGGGAAGGGGTCAGGATAAGGATTAGGGACGGGACGGGACGGAAGGAATGGGGAATATTTCTGCCACATTTTAAAGCGAGAGGTAATGGAGACGAGGAGTAGCGGCGCGGGAGAGAGCCACAGTGGGTCAAGAGAGAGAGTGCGTCTTCCACAGCTTCCTAACTTAATATTACCAAGTGGGCTCTATTATATCAAGTCTCATATCACCACTAGATATCATGTTTGGAGGCTTAGTGTTGGAACAAACAAAGGCTTGGATAACTCCAAGCCTTGGCTCAAAATTGGACTTGTGCGTCACTGATGAAAGTGCGTCAGATTGCTTAAATAACAAAAAAAAAAAAAAAAAAATTAAAAATTCCCCGTTAGTTTTGTTACATATAAGTATATATAGACTGCCAGGCCGACCCCCTAAAGAACCCCAGAGTAAAGAGCGTATATTTGGGCTGCAGGTCATAAAGGTTTGAGGAAAGTTTATTCATGGAGGCACTTCCGCCTCGGGTTGTAAACAAACGAAACTTACCCTTCGCCAGAGCGATAATCGACTCCTGAGCGTCGATGGTGTACAAAATGCCTTCATATCGGATTTCAGACTTGGATATCAGGCTAATCTTACTGCCCAGGAAGGGTATAGGCCCACTCATACTTGTGGCTCACTTTTAACCAATTTCTAACACCGATGTCTCTCGATATTTGCTACGATTTAAACGACGTCTCACTCATTGTGTCCGAGGAAGGTTACCGGTCTGTGACGTCACGGGTCAACCACCGGAAACATTTATTACCGAGGCATATTCTGCCCTCTCCGGCCTCATACCCTCAACCATATATATTTTGTACTTTTATACCAATCATAAAGTAGTTTGTATATGCTATAAGTATTGAGTGTTAGCCATTTTCGATGTTTGCGAAGTCTTTGAGAAGGAAACACTTCGGAAGACTGGTTCCAATATTTTTAGAAACATGAAAAGATGTAATTTTCTTGATAAATTCTATTTATAACTATCATAAGAATATATATAATAATTTATTAGGCATTGTTCATAAATATTATATATTTTATTCGTCGAAATTTGATGATTTGTATAAAAGTTTTACTGGACGAAATACTAAACAAATAAAGATTCATATTACATTATTATATATTAATATATTTTGTATTAATTTAAATTTAACGCTCTATCATAAGACTTATATATTAATATGTATGTGTTTGAAGACTTTGTTGATTTGTCACTAAACAGCTGACTGCTTTTACAAGTTATAACAAGGCAAAAGTAATTTCAAACCGAAAATTCAACTTATCATGGTCGTGGTACTTATTTTATACATAATAACACTAATTCATTAAATAATAATTATAAATCTGTGAATATTGTATTTCCACGTTATCAAAGTTAATGATATTATAGGTTATAGAGAGGGCGGCACATCGAGCACTCTTGCCGGGGTGTGTTGCCTTTTCCCAAGATGGCAGGAACTGCTAGCAGAGTTGCCCGAGCCGGTTTTCTGAAAACTTCTCTACCATGGCTGACTCTGCAGGTAATCACTCGATGACATCTTATTTAATTACAATTATGGGTTGTGTTAATGGTAGGTGGTGTTATATTGTTTACACTAGAGTGTAAATGGCAAATTTGTACAGGAAAATACTAACCGTGAGGGTTTGTTTATGAAAATCTATGGGTTAGTGTTGTCTAGTTGTGGTATTTTCTAGTACAACTCTTAAGAGGATAGTAACTATGGGCCATATTACATAGAATAATTATGTGCATATTATGATAATGTGTTGAGGGTGATATTAATTTTTTTATGTATTGGGCCAATATTTGTAGGTTTCATTGCAATGGTGTTTTGAAGGAAAACATCTGTGGGGCTGTCGGGGGACAGACAGGCAGTGTGTATATACATGTTAGGCTTATATTGAAGCCCTCCTCCCCCCCCCCCCGTCTCCATTCATGCAGTTCAATCCCTGACGGTCCAAGTGGTTGGGCACCATTCCTTTCCCTCTGTCCCATCCCAAATCTCTATCCTGACCCCCCTTCCCACTGCTATAAAGTTGTAATGGCTTGGCACTTTTTCCTGATAGTTCCCCTTCCCCCCACTCCCCCACCCCAAGGTCAAACTACTGACCCCAGGATGCAACCCCACAGCAAGCCGACTTAACTCGTGTGTACCTATTTAGTGCTAGGTGAACAGTTGCATTAGGTGATTGGTACTAGACTCCCATACTTTGAGCGAGTCCAACTCAAGGGTTATATTTAGATGTTTATTTGAATTATAATGCCTAACAACATCGGCCTAATCTTGCCCTGTCAAACCCAGGGTAGTCCAGCAGTGTATATGATCTTGACAGTTGGAGCTTTGTTGAAGTGATTGTGGTGAGGCAGGTAAAGCAGGTGAACCGGCAGGCTCGCTTGGTGAGGCAGGCACAGCGGCAGGCTTGCTTGGTGAGGCAGGCACAGCAGATAAAGCAGCAGGCTCTCTTGGTGAGGCAGGCATGGCAGGTGAAGCAGCAGGCACAGCGGCAGACACAGCAGATAAAGCAGCGAGCTCGCTTGATGAAGCAGGCACAGCCGCAGGCTCGCTTGGTGAGGCAGGCACAGCAGACAAAGCAGCAGGCTCGCTTGGTGAGGCAGGCACAGCAGACAAAGCAGCAGGCTCGCTTGGTGAGGCAGGCATGGCAGGTGAAGCAGCGGGTTCGCTTGGTGAGGCAGGCATGGCAGGTGAAGCAGCGGGTTCGCTTGGTGAGGCAGGCACAGCGGCAGACACAGCAGATAAAGCAGCGGGCTTGCTTGGTGAGGCAGGCACAGCAGATAAAGCAGCGGGCTTGGTGAGGCAGGCACAGCGGCAGGCTCGCTTGGTGAAGCTGGCACAGCAGATGAAGCAGCAGATAAAGCAGCAGGCTCGCTTGGTGAGGCAGGCACAGCAGGTACTCGCCTATTTGTGCTTGCGCAGGTTGAGCTCTGGCTCTTTGGTCCCACCTCTCAACTGTCACTTAACTGGTGTACAGGTTCCTGAGCCTATTGGGCCCTATCATATCTACACTTGAAACTGTGTATGGAGTCAGCCTCCACCACATCACTGCCTAATGCATTCCATTTGTTTAACCACTCTGATACTAAAACAATTCTTTCTAATATCTGTGGCTCATCTGGGCACTCAATTTCCACCCGTGTCCCCTAGTGTGTGCGCCCCTTGTGTTAAATAGCCTGTCTTTATCTATCCTGTCAATTCCTCTGAGAATCTTGTACGTGGTGATCACGTCCCCTAACTCTTGTCTTCCAGCGACGTGATGTTTAATTCCCGTAGTCTCTCCTCATAGGTCATACCTCTCAGCCCGGGTACTAGTCTGGTAGCAAACCTTTGAACCTTTTCCAGTTTAGTTTTGTGCTTGAATAGATATGGACTCCATGCTGGGGCTGCATACTCCAGGATTGGTCTGACATAGGTGGTATAAAAAGTTCTGAATGATTCCTTACACAAGTCTCTAAATGACGTTCTTATGTTAGCCAACCTGGCATGTGATGCTGATGTTATCCTCTTGATATGGGCTTCAGGGGACAGGTCTGGCATGATATCAACCCCCAGGTCTTTCTCTGACTCTTGAAGAATTTTATCTCCCAAATGATACCTTGTAATTGGCCTCCTGCTCCCTTCACCTATTTACATTACATTTGCTTGGGTTAAACTCTAACAACCATTTGTTTGACCATTCCTTCAGTTTGTCTAGGTCTTCTTGAAGCCTCAAGCAGTCCTCTCTTAATCCTTCTCATAATTTTGGCATTGTCAGCAAACATTAAGAGGAATGAGTCTGTACCCTCCGGGAGATTGTTTACGTATATCAGAAACAGGATAGGTCCGAGTACAGAGCCCTGTGGGACTCCACTGGTGACTTCACGCCTATCTGAGGTCTCACTCCTCACTGTAAATCTTTGCTTCCTATTGCTTAGGTACTCCCTTATCCACTGGAGCACCTTACCAGTCACTCCTGTCTGTCTCAAGAGGTGAAGAGGCTGGCTCGCATGGTGCGGCACAGCAGGGGAAATAGCAGGCTCATTTGATGAGTCGGGCTCGACAGGGGGTGATGTAGCAGGCTCCGCTTCTTACTGAGTGAGGCAGAGCAAAGGGTGAAACCCACAAGATATACGTACTGTTCCAGGTACTGTATTTGTTAACTGCACAGCTGGAGAGGGCACTTTTTTCTCTTGAAAGACATTTAAAAATGCAGTTTTAACTCTGTTTTCATCTGCTTTCTTTTATCCTCATGTGATGAGAAAATCCAATCTATAGGCATCACAAGAGAATTAAGTATGCCAATATATATACAGTGGTACCTCGGAATGCGAGTTTTTCGGAAGACGAGCAGGATTTACTCCAAAAATATGTCTCGGAAGGCGAGGGTTACCTCGGGACGCGAGTTTGTTGATATGTGTACAGGCCGACTGGCGCGTGGTGGCATGGCGATCGCGCCTCAGTTTACCAGTGTCTCGTGTCCAGTGACTATCCCACCTGAATTCTTCACAAGGATTTACAGTTTTTTATCGGTTTTTTGGCCATTTGAGCATAAAAGTTGTCATTATATATCTTGCCATGGGTCTCAAGAAAGCCATTGGTAAGGTTCAACCTAAGAAAATAGCTGTGAGTAGAGGCGGTAGAGGATGTCCCTTCTTGATTAAGAAAATGTGTGAAGTATGGGAAGAACTACAAAGTTTTGTTGAAAAAACTCACCCAGATAAAGCTGTAGCAGGCCGTTGCATTGACCTTTTAAATGATAATGTGATGTCTTACTACAGACAAGTGTTAAAATGTAGGGAAAAACAAGTGTCTTTAGACAAATTCTTAGTAAAACAAGCAAGTCCTAGTGGTATGCAGGCAAAATGTGCCAGTGTGTGCATACCAGTGAAGTCCTCACTGCCTTATGTGATAATGGAAGGGGACTCCCCTTCCAAACAGTAACTCCTCTCTTCCTCCCACCTCCTCACCATCTTCCATACGCCTACAGCATTCAACAGCAAGGTAAGTAATAACTTGAACATAGTTTTGTAGGTTTATTTAGATGAATTAGGTATAAAAATTTAGTTTGATGTGGGGTTTTGGGGTAGTCGGGAACGGATTAATTCATTTCCCTTTATTTCTTATGGGGAAATTAGCTTCGGAATGCGAGTTTTCGGAATACGAGGTGTCTCCAGGAACCAATTAAACTCTTAAACTGAGGTATGCCTGTATATATATTTTTTTATATATATAACCTTTTTTCATTTACAACATTGCATCTATGTGAAACCATGTTCAGAGTTTTCACACAATTAATTTACAGTGAAAAATTAGGAACTTGTTCCCATTATATAATCCCATGTAAGAAAAATGATCAGATGTTGTCTCCATCACAGTCCAATTTAGCTCCTTTCTGCAGGTGTGGTTTGCCCTTACATAATTAACTAATCCATCTATACAGTGTACTGTACAGGTACAAGTTTTTAATAGATTATTTATTGTTTATCTGGGAGACATTATACAACCCCAACATTAAAAACCTTTGCCATTTTTACCATTCTTTTCCACACTGCTATTTATATATAATTTTAATAAGGTGTTTTATTCCCCCAGACAGCTTTAAAATATCCCACAATGCTTTAATTGGTGCAGTGTTATGGAATACTTTTAATAAGCTTATAAAGTATATTTTCCGGTGATACTTTCAGAAAAGTTACGGGGAAGAACTTTGTTACTTTTCCTAACTCCTACTTTGACACATTCCGGTATGACAAGTCTGGTATTCGGTACGGTATTATATGAAGGTAAAAGTTATAGCTGGAAGACTATATTGAGAATTACATGGGGAATGTGCACACAGTATAAAAATAGAAACCAACACCAATCCTTGTTTTGTTATGAACATAAATGGTTAGTTTTAGTTACTTTATTTGTTAAGACATTCTTTTGTTTTTACAGCCATCGGCCAAATTCTCAACACTGAGAGCGATGACGGCTACAAGGAAATCTGTAAGTATCAGTTCATGTGCATAAAGAATTTTATAGTTATAGATTTTCAAATTTGTAAAAATATACTTGTTTTGGGTATATTGTAAAGTGTTTTCATAAGTAATGCCTTTGCTACAAAAAAAGTTACCTAACTTATAATTGAATTTTGTATAATTATGTGGTTTTGGAGTAGAATTAAAACTAGTATGTTTAGTATAGGGTATTGTGACTTCATGTCAACACAGGCGGTGGATCAGTGTATCATTATTATTCCAATGAGGCGTCGGTATATCATCTACTACATTCAGCTTTGTTTGGTGGGTGGAGAAACTCTGCAACTACAGAGCAGCTTCCTCTATATGCCGGTCAGCCGAGCAGACAGCACGCTGGACTTGTGATCCTGTGGTCCTGGGTTCGATCCCATGCGCCAGAGAGAAACAATGGGAAGAGTTTCTTTCACCCTATGCGCCTGTTACCTAGCAGTAAAATAGGTACCTGGGTGCTAGTCCAACCTGTCCTCTTAAAAAGAACGTCGCTTTTGGCCGTTTGCCCGTATGACCGAATATGGACATACATGTAATTTGAAAATTTAAAAAAAAAATGAAAATTGGGAATTTTTTTTCAACAACAGTAAGTTAAGGGTCCTCTGATAAGTTAGGTGGGCAGGAAATTCTCATACAGTTTTAAAACGGTATGAAAAATGTTAATGGAAAGTTTCCTTTACTAAGCTGGCCGAGTAAACCGACGACTCAAACAGAAAACGGAACAGTACGTCACTTTTGTGAGTCGATTTCATTTCAAATTACGTCCAAGTTTGGCCATAGCGCGCATACGAGCCAAAAGTGGCGTTATTTTTTAAGAGGACGGGTTGGTTAGTCAGCTGTCATGGGCTGCTTCCTGGGGGTGGAAGCCTGGTCAAGGACCGGGCCACGGGGACACTAAAAGGCCCCGAAATCATCTCAAGATAAAGAAAAAATTAGATATGCCAAAATTTAAATACGGTATTGCCAAATTTTCATCTATTTAACCCTTAAGCTGCTAAGGGGTCCTGAGGAGATTTACACCCCTGTGCGCAAGAAAAAAAAAATTCTAAAAATTATTTCGTCTTCTAAAAATGTTAATTTGTGTTCCCTGAGCACGGGAAAAATAAAAAATAAATTGTAGGCGACATATTTTGGGCGCAATAGGCCGAGGAAGTCTGGCAAAATGTGGGCGTTGACAGCGGTCGTCAGAGCTGGTCAGCGTCATCCGAGCTGACGGGGGAGTTGCCACAAAGATGATATTACCTAATTATTTCAATGTTTTTGACTGATTTTTTCTTAGTTTTTGCAGTAATATTATTCAATAGTGTGTATTGTGATATATTTATATAATAAAAGGGGTGAATCATCGCTATACTCGAAAGTCTGGTGTGCATATTAGTGATTCAATTATGTTCATTAAACATTAAACAAATAGTTTTGCTGTTATTACACTCTATAAACAGTTTATATACAAGTATTTGCATGATTTTTTCACCATAACAAACCACTAAGTTGGTATCGAGTCGAAAAGCAACGAGGAGTGACCGCCACACACAGCCAGCCACTCGTTGCCACTCCTTCAACAATGCCTCACTCACCCACTTTCTCTTCCCACCATCCTGTTTTTTATTTTATTCACTTATACAGACGTTATATATAAGTATTTACATGTTTTGTTCAACACAACTGTACAACTAAGCTGATATACTGTAGTTAGTACAGGCACTAAGAGACGTCGCTACACACAGTCAGCTCCATATATAAAAGTTAGATAAATATATATATAAAGAGGCACAGGGCGCAAACGATCTTTGATCGCCCTCACTGAAGACCTGCCGAAAGGAAGCACAGTAAAGCAAAGCGGGCAATTGCAAAAATCACAAAATAAAGGAATAAATGACCATACCTCCCACCCTTTCCTCCTAGTAACAGGTGGTAACACCACAGGAGCCATTGCTTCAGCATGTCAACATTTCTCAGTGTGGAGAGGAAGTAATATTACCTTTTCCTAACTGCAGTTGCATGCAACATCACTAGTGTGCATATGGCAGATGCTTCACAAAGCTGTCATAATCCAGTAACACGAGAGCAAGTGTACATTCAAAAGGTGACACCCCTAGTGATAACACCTGCATCACAGGAGCTCCAGGACATTTCACAATTCCTAAGGATTGTAGTACAGGTTAATGATAATAAGTGGTGTCCCAAAGAACATAAATGTGTAGTGCTTTGGAAAAGTAGGTGAGATAACACAAATGTGCAAAGTGAAGTGAAAAATTGTTTGAGAAAACATTGCTCTAGTGTTCACAGAGCAGACAACAACATTACAGATGTCCGCCGGCAGGAAGGAAAACAAAACAGAACTAGATTTTTGGGGGTTTTAACCCTTAACCCTTAAACTGCGCAACGCGCCTGCAGGCTCACGTCTGGTTTGCGCAACGCGCCTCCGGGTATTTGTATTTTTCACGTTCCATTCAAAACTCCCGCGGCTACATGGGGTTCACATCAGCTTCCTCAGGGCTCTTGTAAACAGACGCCATCTTTAAAAAAAATCGTGGTCCACATTCCCGGGTGTGGGAGCCTCAGTAGTGTGTGAGCAACCAAGGCTGGCGCTCGCAACATGAGCGCACAGCACTGCTGTTCAGCATGTGACCACAGCATCGCCTAATAATGTCAAAATATATATATAACTTGTATTATTTAGCTATGATAGTGTTATATTAGAGCCTGAGTGTGATAATGACTGGGTACAATGTTCAAATATCAGTGATTCAATGCTGTTCACGATGTTCACAGCGCTAGCCACAGCACCACAGCATTATTTCGTTCATCTAGGAATCTTCAAATGATTTCTTAGGTTCCTTTTCAAAATAAACGTGTGGTCAATTATTCATTTACAGGAATTAGTGACCAGGAATGTGATAATAGCAGGAATGTGGTTATAATTAGCGTTGTGCGTAGTATTGTGGAAGGAGGAATTTTGATGAGGGAGGGAGGGCGAGAATTGAGGTAGCCTCATTGTGTGCGTGGCTGCCACTCTTGTTTTGCTCACCATACTAGCTTAGTGGTTCGCTATGGGCAACACATATGTACATGGGTATATATAGTGTGTGTATATAGTGTAAGAACAGCAACAGAAGAATGTTGAGAGGAGCTATTTTGGTGAGGGAGGTGACGTAATCGTAGCGTCGTCTGCTGTGTGATTTTTCATGCAGTGTATGGTGGCCACTGTACTGTTTGGACACAATATTGGCTTACTTGCATAGTTCTGGTAAATAAAACATGTAGATAGGTATATAGAACATGTGTAATAAGAACTATAACAATATGGTGGGAGGAGCAATGTTGGCGAGTAAGATGTTGGAGTGAGGGAGACAGGCTGGGTGTGGCTGCTCTCACTCGAGGTGTTCTGAATGTGTTCATGGCCAAATGCTCCTATTGGCCCATACGAGGCAGCTGCTATTGGCCCATACGAGGCAGCTGCTATTGGCCCATACGAGGCAGCTGCTATTGGCCCATACGAGGCAGCTGCTATTGGCCCATACGAGGCAGCTGCTATTGGCCCATACGAGGCAGCTGCTGTTGGCTCATACGAGGCAGCTGCTGTTGGCTCATACGAGGCCGCTGCTGTTGGCCCATACGAGACAGCTGCTATTGGCCCATACGAGGCAGCTGCTATTGGCCCATACGAAGCAGCTGCTACACGGTGTTCTGAATGTGTTGATAGTGAATGTATATAGTGTGTGACAGTGTATAGTGTGTAAATAGATTGTATATATACACAAATTAGCATGATACATAGTAAATATGTGCTGCATATGTGTACACAAGTTTCATGCACGTAACACAGTGTCTACGGACAGTACGGATGTTGTACTGCGATATTATAGTGTACGTGTTCATTATACATTGGATTGGCACATAAAAACAATGAAAATGTATTTGGAAAGGTGCGCAAAATATGAACGAAAATATATTCGCGGCAACTCGCGCGCCCCGCCCCGAGCGCCCCACCGCCCCCGAGAGCTCACGGCACGGGCGCACGGGGAATGATGACGTCACGCCCCAACTTCCGGACCCCATAGCAGCCAAAGTAAGTACAATTTCGACTTTTTTTTTACATACCCATACTGAGGGAAGGGTTTTTGACACTTTAAAAAGAAAAAAGAATTTTTTCCAGAGAATTTATTTCCTGCGCACTGCGGGGGTGTCACATTTGGAGGCAACGCAGTTAAGGGGTTAAACCACTAACTGTTAAATAGCCAACATCCCCAGGGCGCTCAAGAAAAAAATTGTCTTGACAATTATTTTTTCTTATGACATTGTTAACCTTCAGGAAGCACAAAAATCCAAATAAAAAGTCTCCAACTCTTGTGATTTAGCTGTAGTGGCCTTGAGAAGTTGCATATTTTTAGTTGAGGTGCTGCATAGGAATAACTTTGTTGATTTATTTTCATTGTTTCTCAATTTATTTATTTAGTTTTTTTTTCATGCTAACAGGTTGTATGTGTGTGTCAAAGTTAGTCTATTATGTAAAACTTTGAAAATATATGTATGTATGGGTATACAAGTATAGATATAAAGAAACCCACATACTTATTCATAATAATACATGTATGTATATATATATTTTAAGCCTAAATCTTAAAATTGCATATAACACACATTTTGCCTCAAATATATACATGGTAGTCACTCATTTGTTGTTGCTAAAAGTTTGTGTATCCTCTATGGCTGCCCTAAACATTCAGACACTGGATGGTGATGTTGCCAAGCAATGGTCATCATTTTCTTACAAAGGCCCTAGAAGGAAAGTAAGGGACTCGGGTTTTTTTTTAAAGATGGAGGATGGTTACTGGTGGTCTGAAGAAGCAGATGTGAGCTCTATGTATGTGTGGGACTATTTTAACTATTTTAACACCATTTTGTGAGTTACTCCCATCATATATGTATGTATTTTTCTGTTTAAGGGTTAATGAAGAAAGCCTTAATATAAGCAGTCTACACAACAAATTGGCAAAATTAGATATTGTAGTGAACTATCATGCAGAAATAATCAGCAAATTGAAAGAAAGTAATGAGCACTCGAGTAGCAAGGTTTTAGACCTTGAGGGGTTATTGAAAGGATTATGCAAGGACTAGAATCAATTGGAAACAAATTGCTAAGCCATGGAAGAGGAAAATAAACTTTAAAAATAGCTTTGGAAAAAATTAAGTCAAATTTAAACATAAATGACTACAATAGGTTAGGTAAGAAAATTCAACATGGAAAAACAGCTTTTCAGTAGAGATGAAGTTACACAGGGAATAGAACAGTGTAAAAAAGATATGCAACTCACCTATGCACAAGTGGCCAAAGAGAAGGAAAAAATAGAAGAAGCAGTAAAGGAAGCCAAACACTGCAGCAACCAGGATAAAACAAACATTAGGCTGGAAGTGAGAAAGGAACTTGATCTAACCCGAAGTTGGTGCAAAACACAGTTGATCGAAGTAAGTCCCTGATAATTTTTGGTTTCAAAGGAGATAACATTTAGGTCAGAAAGAGCTGTAGAAGAAGAGAAAGTTGTAGATAAAATTGTTGGCCTCGTGGAAGGTCTTGCTACCGTAGATAATGTCTGCGACTACAGGAGGATTGGAAAATGCGTTAAAGGGAAAGATCGACCTTTGTGGATCACCCAAAACGGTGCCAAACAGATGGAAGAAGTACTGTACTAAGGAATGCTAGAAAATTACAAGGTGATGAGGAAGGGGAAAGTATGGTCGTTAACACTTTCGCCCGGGCATGACGCAGCATTGCGTCATCCGTTTACTGTCAGTAATTCCGGGGATGATGCAGCATTGCGTCATCCACTTTAAATAATCGCCAAAAATCAGGTTTTTATCCGATTTTTTTAAGACTGGTTTTAAAATGCGCGCCGATGTCTTTCCATTTTCTTTGTTGAGCCTCGTGGCCCTCAGGCGGCTTGGCACACGCCGTGGGCCCATTGTTTTCGCTCCACTGTTGTGACCAATGTCGCGTCCCCTCGCATCTCAAACGTGTGAACATTTCGGCTATTTTCCGTGGCTATATTTCTTACTGCGGCTTTAGAAACTATCTACGCTTACTCCACGATGGATAGTGATCATGAACAAGGCCCTTCCAGGAAGAAAATTGCGAAAGAAAGGCTTGAAAAGGGCGGGAATTGGGAGTGTAGCTGGAAGGCGTCTGAGCGCTCACTCGCGGCTAACGTGTGGCCCGTCTTCAACTCGTCGGCGGTTGGAGCGTGACCAGATTTTTTATTTTATATGCTAATGTTCCTCTAGAGAATTCTATTGCAAACCCATTGAGACCAAAATGAAAGACCTAGGACAAAAATTGAGGTGACCAGAGTGAAAATAGTGAAAACATTTTATCGCGTTTGCGCGCTCCTGGGTAACTCGTTCGCACTTTCTCTGTTTGCTGCGGGTAATTAGCCGGGCTTTTGGAGTTTATATGCATTTAGTGCTGTAGAGAATTCTATTGCGAACACAATGATACCAAATTTAATCTCGTAGGACGAGAATTAAGGTGACAAAGTTGAAGATAGTATACACTTTTCAGAATTTACGCGCACTCCCGTGACACCCTGGGTCCCATATCGCACAGTTGAGGGGTGGCGTGCGGGGTACGCCAAAGTGTTAAGATGAGATCTTTCAAAAGACAGAGAGAAGATAAAACTGAACCTCGTCGGGGCAAAACGTCTAAATGCGAGCAGGAATGAAGAAGAAATCGATTCATTTTTCTACAAAGTGATAGGGGGTATGCAGACCCAGTAAAATGGTACAAAAAAGGCAAACCAACAAAATCACTAGAGAAATGGGTAGTGAAGAATTAGGAGGGGGGGAACATGTTCCTGAAATTGAGTACAGTTGTAGCTGATGTGTGGGAAAAAGGCTAACATAGTTCTAATCTACAAAAGTGGCAGCAGGGAAGACCCCCTCAATTCAGACCTGTATCATTGACAAGTGTAATAGTAAAAATATTGGAAAAAAATAATTAAAACTAAATGGGTAGGAGAATAGACCTGTCCACAATAAATGTTTATTGTTGCAATATTACTTGTTAAAAGTTCACTAAAATTACAATATGTACAGTTTCACACTATTTACACAGTAACACTGTATTACACACTCAGTACTTCGGAAGTGAGCTATAATCAACAAAGTAGTCCATGGTGCACAACGCTACTTCGCTCTCGTTGCACCAGGTACAGATAAATTTTCGCTTCCTGTTTCTTCATTCTCTGTGCTTGCAAATAACGGACTCATGTACACCCTTGGCTTTAGTACTTGTAGGTAGCCAAGCTTGTAAAGCATAAGGTAGTATTGAAAAGATTATAGGAAAAGATCAATTTGTAAGGTAGTCTTTAAAAGATCGCTTTTGTGTGGTCCCACATAGGAAGAGATTCAGCTTGCCTCAGAGTGTCCGTCAGTCAGGAAGAGATTCAGATTCAGGTATTCTTGAAAATATCTATGGAAAACACCACCATGGAAGCCGCTAACACTGTTCATCTATGCTATTTGTATCAGATGCATCATCACTGAATGCAAAAAACAATTCATCTATATCATCTAAATAAATTGGAGATGGCATAGGATTGCAAGGGTGACGCTCAGAGCTACAACTGGATACACTCGCTGTATCGTCCTCATAGGTGCTGTATCACTTGCATCCAACCTTTGTGTTAGGTCCTTATTGCGCCTAGCTTCACCAATATTATGACCTTTATGTTCTTCAAACAATAAGGTTTGAATTTCACTGACAGAGCGTTATCATTCAACACCGCGTCAGACAGGTGTTTGGGAGCCAGAGGCGCGTGCGCCACCCATGGTTGCTCATTCTGTACTAACCCAGCCAGCAGCCCTAGGGCATTCGTGGAATTTTTTCCAAGATGGCTGCCTCTCACTGGAGGTCCTAAGAGTCCATTTCGTACATAACCAACCTCGCTCACATTTAGAATGGGTACGGAAAAATCAGCATGTTTTCTTGGTTGGCACAGTTAAGTGGTTAACCGCTGTACTGCTCTGCATTAATGCTTTTTGTAACCACGCTACATTTTTATATCAACTTTAATGTTCTAGCCATATAGATATGCAAACAAATTTTGTATGAACAATTTAATAATCTGAGCATGCAGCTGAAGGAGAGAAAACAGTTTGGGCAAAAAAGAGCACCACTCCTAGAATACATAATTACAGTGGTACCTCGGAATGTGAGTGTCCCTGTATGCGAGTTTTTCGGAAGACGAGCAGGATTTCCTCGGAAAATATGTTCCGAGGAAATATGGTAACCCTCGGAAGGCGAGGGTTACCTCAGAACGCGAGTTTGATACGTGTACAGGCCGACTGGCGCGTGGTGGCATGGCGATCGCGCCTCAGTTTACCAGTGTCGTGTTCAGTGACTATCCCACCTGAATTCTTCACAAGGATTTACAGTTTTTTATCGGTTTTTTGGCCATTTGAGCATAAAAGTTGTCATTACTGTATATATCTTGCCATGGGTCTCGAGAAAGCCATTGGTAAGGTTCAACCTAAGAAAACAGCTGTGAGTAGAGGCAGTAGAGGATGTCCCTTCTTGATTAAGAAAATGTGTGAAGTATGGGAAGAACTGCAAAGTTTTGTTGAAAAAACTCACCCAGATAAAGCTGTAGCAGGCCGTTGCATTGACCTTTTAAATGATAATGTGATGTGTTACTACAGACAGGTGTTAAAATGTAGGGGAAAACAAGTGTCATTAGACAAATTCTTAGTAAAACAAGCAAGTCCTAGTGGTATGCAGGCAAAATGTGGCAGAGTGTGCATACCAGTGAAGTCCTCACTGCCTGATGTGATAATGGAAGGGGACTCCCCTTCCAAACAGTAACTCCTCTCTTCCTCCCACCTCCTCACCATCTTCCATACGCCTACAGCATTCAACAGCAAGGTAAGTAATAACTTGAACATAGTTTTGTAGGTTTATTTAGATGAATTAGGTATAAAAATTTAGTTTGATGTTGAGTTTTTGGGGTAGTCAGGAACGGATTAATTCATTTCCCTTTATTTCTTATGGGGAAATTAGCTTCGGAATGCGAGTTTTCGGAATACGAGGCGTCTCCAGGAACCAATTAAACTCTTAAACTGAGGTATGCCTGTATTTCTATTATATTTTGAAGACCATCACATTTTCTAACCAATGTCCAAATACTTTTATTAATAAAAAAAAATCCTTTTCCAGGTATTAGCTGCGATAGGTGTTCTTGGAGGAGGAGCTGCAGGCTTGGCTTATGCACTTAATGAGTCGGTGAAAGCCTCCGAGCTCGAGCTACACACGTCGAAGTTCCCCTGGCCTCATGACGGCTTTTTTTCTACTTTTGACCATGCATCCATCCGTCGTGGATACGAGGTGAGTTGCAGGGCTCTCGTTTTGTAATGAATCTGGTTTGGTGTCCCAACCCAGTATAGTGTATGTTACTGTGGTTTGGTGTTCCAACCCAGTATAGCGTATGTTACTGTGGTTTGGTGTCCCAACCCAGTATAGCGCATGTTACTGTGGTTTGGTGTCCCAACCCAGTATAGCGCATGTTACTGTGGTTTGGTGTCCCAACCCAGTATAGCGCATGTTACTGTGGTTTGGTGTCCCAACCCAGTATAGCGCATGTTACTGTGGTTTGGTGTCCCAACCCAGTATAGTGTGTGTTAGTGTGGTTTGGTGTCCCAACCCAGTATAGCGCATATTACTGTGGTTTGGTGTCCCAACCCAGTATAGTGTATGTTACTGTGGTTTGGTGTCCCAACCCAGTATAGCGCATGTTATTGTGGTTTGGTGTCCCAACCCAGTATAGTGTGTGTTAGTGTGGTTTGGTGTCCCAACCCAGTATAGCACATGTTACTGTGGTTTGGTGTCCCAACCAGTATAGTGTGTGTTAGTGTGGTTTGGTGTCCCAACCCAGTATAGCACATGTTACTGTGGTTTGGTGTCCCAACCCAGTATAGCGCATGTTACTGTGGTTTGGTGTCCCAACCCAGTATAGCGCATGTTACTGTGGTTTGGTGTCCCAACCCAGTATAGCGCATGTTACTGTGGTTTGGTGTCCCAACCCAGTATAGCGCATGTTATTGTGGTTTGGTGTCCCAACCCAGTATAGTGTGTGTTTGGTTTGGTGTCCCAACCCAGTATAGCACATGTTACTGTGGTTTGGTGTCCCAACCAGTATAGTGTGTGTTAGTGTGGTTTGGTGTCCCAACCCAGTATAGCACATGTTACTGTGGTTTGGTGTCCCAACCCAGTATAGCACATGTTACTGTAGTTTGGTGTCCCAACCCAGTATAGCGCATGTTACTGTGGTTTGGTGTCCCAACCCAGTATAGCGCATGTTACTGTGGTTTGGTGTCCCAACCCAGTATAGTGTGGTTTGGTGTCCCAACCCAGTATAGTGTGTGTTTGTGTGGTTTGGTGTCCCAACCCAGTATAGTGTGTGTTAGTGTGGTTTGGTGTCCCAACCCAGTATAGTGTGTGTTAGTGTGGTTTGGTGTCCCAACCCAGTATAGTGTGTGTTAGTGTGGTTTGGTGTCCCAACCCAGTATAGTGTGTGTTAGTGTGGTTTGGTGTCCCAACCCAGTATAGTGTGTGTTAGTGTGGTTTGGTGTCCCAACCCAGTATAGTGTGTGTTTGTGTGGTTTGGTGTCCCAACCCAGTATAGTGTGTGTTAGTGTGGTTTGGTGTCCCAACCCAGTATAGTGTGTGTTAGTGTGGTTTGGTGTCCCAACCCAGTATAGTGTGTGTTAGTGTGGTTTGGTGTCCCAACCCAGTAGTGTGTGTGTTAGTGTGGTTTGGTGTCCCAACCCAGTATAGTGTGTGTTAGTGTGGTTTGGTGTCCCAACCCAGTATAGTGTGTGTTTGTGTGGTTTGGTGTCCCAACCCAGTATAGTGTGTGTTAGTGTGGTTTGGTGTCCCAACCCAGTATAGTGTGTGTTAGTGTGGTTTGGTGTCCCAACCCAGTATAGTGTGTGTTAGTGTGGTTTGGTGTCCCAACCCAGTATAGTGTGTGTTAGTGTGGTTTGGTGTCCCAACCCAGTATAGTGTGTGTTTGTGTGGTTTGGTGTCCCAACCCAGTATAGTGTGTGTTAGTGTGGTTTGGTGTCCCAACCCAGTATAGTGTGTGTTAGTGTGGTTTGGTGTCCCAACCCAGTATAGTATGTGTTAGTGTGGTTTGGTGTCCCAACCCAGTATAGTGTTTGTGGTTTGGTGTCCCAACCCAGTATAGTGTGTGTTAGTGTGGTTTGGTGTCCCAACCCAGTATAGTGTGTGTTAGTGTGGTTTGGTGTCCCAACCCAGTATAGTGTGTGTTAGTGTGGTTTGGTGTCCCAACCCAGTATAGTGTGTGTTAGTGTGGTTTGGTGTCCCAACCCAGTATAGTGTGTGTTAGTGTGGTTTGGTGTCCCAACCCAGTATAGTGTGTGTTAGTGTGGTTTGGTGTCCCAGTATAGTGTGTTTGGTGTCCCAACCCAGTATAGTGTGTGTTTGTGTGGTTTGGTGTCCCAACCCAGTATAGTGTGTGTTAGTGTGGTTTGGTGTCCCAACCCAGTATAGTGTGTGTGTGTGTGGTTTGGTGTCCCAACCCAGTATAGTGTGTGTTAGTGTGGTTTGGTGTCCCAACCCAGTATAGCGCATGTTACTGTTTTACTATCATGGGGGTGGGGGAATAAAGCAAAAGTGGACAACTAGGATTGTTTTGTCAGTTTCCAGACTATGCTAATTGTTCATTGTGGTCATAATGTTTTGTTGCTATTGTATATAGTCAACTGGCATTGTGCTTTCTCCTAATAAATGACCTTAATTTCATTAATTAAAAGTTTGAGTAGATGTACAAGCTATTGAAAGTGAGCAATGTGTCCCCATAGAGAAGGGATTATTGTATTGAAACATAAAAAATAAAGTGGATACATTCGTTATTGAACAGTTGAACCCACTGATAACTGTTAATAAGTTTGGTTCAGAGAAAAGTTGAACCTGTCATGAACAAGTCTTTTTATCAGGGAGGGGGAAACCGCCACCAAGAACCTCTCCTCCTACTTCCCTCGCCAACCCCCATCCATCTTACTCCATCATTCCCTCCTCCCATGTACCCATGTCATCCCTCCCTCTCACTACACCCATGCTGCCCTTCCTTTCCTCCCACTGTAATTACCTAAGTGTAGTTATAGGATGAGAGTTATGCTTGGGGTGTCCCATCTTCTCGGCACTCTTTGTAATACATTGCTTTAAAACTACTGATGGTTTAACCGTCTACCACTCTGCGAAAGTGAATTTTTCTAACATCTTTTCTGCAGCTTTGTTTAGGTAGTCTAACTTTAGACCTCTTGTTATTGAGGTTCCAGGTCTCAAGAATTCTTATTTATCAATTTTGTCTTCCCCATTATTATCCCATTATTTTGTATGTATGATCATATCTCGCCTGTTTCTTTTATCTTGTATCTCTGGCATGTACTTCTAACCTCTCCTTGTAGCTCTTATATTTCAATTCCAGAAGCCATTTAGTTCCATATTTTAGCACCTTTTTTTTCCTTTGTTGATGTGCTGCTTAAGATATGGGCATCATACAACTGCATATTCTAGTTTGGGTCTACCTGTTGACTACCATTTGATTTCGAGAATCAACATCCCCTGGGGCCCAGTCTCTGACTGGGTTCATGGTTGCTGGTCTGATGATGCAGCAATTTGCAGCCTGACATAAATCAGAGCAACCCCTGCTGTTGTCCCCCTCTCCTCCCTCTAACAAACCATACATCCTTGCCACCCACCATACACCCGTGCTGTCTGTCCTACCTGCTGCCTGTCCCTCAACCATGCACCCCTGCTGCCTGCCCCTCTAACTCCCACTGCACTCCCATGCCATCTTGCCTTCCCACCACGCACCCATGCCTCCTTCCCCTCCCTCCGCACACCCGTGCCTCCTTCCTCCTCCCTCCCACCGCACACCCGTGCCTCCTTCCCCCTCCCTCCCCACCGCACACCCGTGCCTCCTTCCTCTTCCCTCCCACCGCACATCCGTGCCTCCTTCCCCCTCCCTCCCACCGCACACCTGTGCCTCCTTTCCCTGAGTGGAATATACCGCGTAGACAAGGGCTACATGTTTCAACTCAGAGAGCAGGATAAAGGGGCATCAGTGGAAGCTGGATTCGCAATTATCAGAGATGTAAGGAAATTCTGATACAGTACCCCTGTATTGATCAATATTAAGAAGGCATTGAAGGAAGTATGTCAACACCACTTCCAACCACAAAAGTATGACAGGTGCTTTAATGTCAAGAGATGTCATTAGCATACCAGGTATAACCAATAAAATTGCTATGAGGCAGGACATAAAAGCTAGATCTCCTCCCACCTATCCATAAATAAGCAACACCTTGTATGCTTACCCACTCAAACCTAACTGTAGTGTGTTAGAGGAATACTTCAACAGTTCTAGAGGTGGGTAGACAAATAGCTGCAAGATCTACAGTATATGAGAGAAGCACTTACAGAAACTGGTAAGTGTGTCTTGAGTTCATAAGATTATTTTCTTAAGATTTCCCTATGATGCATTAACAGAATTGTAGTAAACTGATCCTTGCATACATAAACATACTACTGGTGCATTTTCAAAGACTTTCTGGCATTCAAGCACAGTGAAAAGCTCTATACCCCAGGGCACAGTCCTTGCACCACTTCTTTTTCCCCACTCGTATGTATCAGATACGGACAAAAATGTCGCCATTTTGTGTCATCCTTCGGGGATAAAAAATTGGCATGGAAATATGTCTGTAGAACACTTTGGAAAACTACAAGCTGATATCATTGAAGTCTCTAGTTGGACAACTAAAAATAACATTATCTTCAACAGCACTGATCAATTCCAGACACTTGGGTATGAAAAAAAATTAAGAACGTTAAGGAAATAAAAGTTGCAAGACAATCAGATTACTCATAGAAAAAAGTGTATGTGTTCTGGTAATAATGTCAGATGATTTAATGTTTAAGGACATAGCCAAATATAGCCTTAGCCAAGAAAATGATAGGGTGGATTATGAGAACCTTCAAATCCAGGGAGGCTACTAAAATGCTCCTGCTTTTTAAATCACTTGTGCTTCCCACCTTGAGTACTTTATCGATACTCGCTTCCTTTTTTAAAGTAGGAGAGGTTTGTGAAAAAAGGAATACAGTACAGAGAACATATACAGCATTCATTGAGCCAATAAAACTCCTAAACTATTGGGACCATCTGTTACACTATCAACACAATTGCTGGAGTGAGGAGTGGCCATATCAACACCATCTTTGGACCTGCACGCCAACTCCAAGGCATTGAGACGAAGACAACGCTATCTGTGGGCAGAGGTGTGGCATCTGTGAATGGCTCCCGT